CAAAAAAAACCCTGATGGATGATGCGATTATGAATATTATTTTACTTTGCTATTATTTTACTGTTATTTTTAGGTTTTAAAAAATCCTTGATTAGCTTTAAAACACAGGCCAGGGAAGAAAGTAACATGGGCAGGCAAATGTGAGAGAATTTTAAATTAATCAATAATAATCATGTGTTGTTGGCATTTTCATTTTGCATTCAAGATGCTTTTGAATAACCCTCATAGTTCAGAGGTCTCTCAAAAATATATAAATTAATATGACAATAACAGATCATAATACTGAGTCATATCATACTTATGGAAAACCTTACCATCAACTGCTACTAATACAGCAGTTCGACCTTTTCTCTCATGTTCAGTCATGAAGTCATCTACATAGTTATTAATGACCAGACCATTTCTAATCATCCACTCCCGGTTACCAATGAGGACTTTATACTGCTGAGTATTAAGAGCATCTGAAAGTAAGCATAGAAATAACATTTAGTGATTTCAATTAATCTTTATAAAAACCTATGAAGCAAGTTATTCCTGTCTAACCTTACACAGTCACTATATTGTATTTTTTGTAGAACATAGCCTGCAACAGTGATGTTCAAATTTTCTAAGAACATATTCTGTTCTTCCATGCCTCTGGGCTTCCGCATACATTGCTGTCTTCATCTGAAATGTTCTTATTCCTCCTCTCCAGATACCAAACTCTATCACATTCTTCAAGAGCCAGTTCAAATCTTAACTTTATTGGTGAGGCTTTTCCTTTAACCTTCCATAGAAATTCAATCAAATTAAAAAATACTTATTGTGCATCAGTAGCTGAATGTGGCTGGATGAAAATGTATAATCATGCTGACATCTCATTTTCTTTAAGTGGGCCCTTAGTGCTATCTGGAAACTTGACTATATTTTTCTAGTCCATTCATTCTCCATTTCTTCTAGATGGTTATTTCATACCTTCTCATCTCCCTTCAAATCTCCAACTTCTCCTGCCCCATCCTAATACCAGATGATGACTCTGCTTCCTACTTCAGAAAGAAAATAGAAGCAATCAGCAAAGAACTTCCATAGCTCTCATTGCCACATCCACTCAACTACCTGTGCCTCTTGAGTCTGTGTATCTAGCTTCCCTTCTGTTATTATAAACTGATTCTGCTCCTAATTTAAGGCCAACCTTTCTACTTGTGTACTAGACCCCCTTCTTTCCCTATTCTAGAACATCTCTCCAACAATTCTCCCTGCCCCCTCCTGCACAACTTTTCTATCTCTGCTATACATTGTCCTAACTTTAGAAAAAAAAAAAAAAACTCTCTTGATCTCACACACCTCTCTAGATACCACATTTATCTGCTTCCGTACATAGCAAAACTTCCCAAAAGTATCTCTATTGGCTGTCTCCAATTCATATCTTCCCATTATCTTATGAACCTACCCCAATAAGGCTTTTGACTCTAGTACTCCAATTAATTATTACACAGTCAGTGACCTTTACTTTAGTAATCCTAATAGTTAATTCTCAGTCCTCAGCTTACTTGTCCAATTAGCAGAATTTAACACAGCTGTTCATGCCCTCCTGCAAATATTTCCTTCATTTGGTTTCTAGGATACCACATTCTTAGCGGTTACCTCCTCATTGGCCATTTCTGACCTTCTTTGCCCATCCCCCTTTATCTCCCTAACTTCTTAATTTGTAGTGTTGCAGGATTCAGTACTTAACTCTTTCTTTCCCTTTATCTACTCTTGCACCTTGGGGTTCTTACCCAGTCTCATGGCTTTAAATACCATCTATACCACTGTCGTCCAAGAGAGCTTTCTGTGATATTGGAAATGTTCTATATCCGCTATATTTAAGGCAATAGCCACTAACACACAGATGTGACTATTGAGTACTAAAATGGGGCTAGTATGACTGAAAGATAAATTTCAAATTAAATTTAAGTGAATTTAAATAGTCACATGTAATTAGTGGCTGTTTTACCAGACACCACAGATCTATAAGCAGAGGACTCTCACATCTATCTCTCTGACCCATTTTGTTTCCTGGAACTCCAAACTTATGTAGCCAACTGCTTACTTGATATTTCCATTTATATGATATCTCCACTTGGGATATCTCTAATAGGTACTCAAACTTAACATGTACAAAACTGAACTCCTGATCTTTTTCCCAATACTGTCCCTCCTGTGGTCTTCCCCCATCTTATTTAAATGATAACTCCATCCTTCTAACTGCTTAGTCTACAAACCTTGGCATAATTCTTGACTCCTGTTTCTCTGATATGCCATATATATACAACCCATGAGAAAAATCTGTGACTCTCCCTTCAAGACACATCTAGAATTCTACCACTTCTTACTACCTGTACTATACTGGTCCAAGCTACCGTTACATTTCACCTCGATTATGACAACATTCACCAACTCATCTCCCTACTTCTGCCCTTGCCCCACATCACCACAGTGTATTTTTGCCAGAGCAGCCAGAGTAATACTTTTAAAAAAAATTTTTTTTTGAGATAGAGTCTTGCTCTGTTGCCCGGGCTGGAGTGCAGTGGTGCGATCTTGGCTCACTGCAACCTTCGCCTTCTGGGTTCAAGCAATTCTCCTGCCTCAGCCTCACGAGTGGCTGGGATTATAAGTGCCTGCCACCATGCCTGACTAATTTTTGTATTTTGAGTAGAGATGGGGTTTCACCATATTGGCCAGGCTGGCTTCGAACTCCTAACCTCAAGTGATCCACCCGCCTCAGCCTCCCAAAGTGCTGGGATTACAGGCGTGAGTCACCGCGCCTGACTTACTTTTAAAATATTAAGTCAGATTTTGTTCCCTCTCTACTCAAAACCATCAGATTGATTTTGTTCTTACATATCTAGTCCCAAACCACCTCTCTGACCTTGTCTGATACCCCTTGCCCACCCATTTACTCTGCGATTGCCACAATGTTCTCCTTTGCATTCCTCAAACAAGTCAAGCACACTCCTGACTCACGGCTTTGGTACTTACTATTTCTCCTGCCTGGAATATTCTTGCCACAGAAATCCACATAGCTTTTTCTCTCATCCGCTCAGGTCTTTTTTCAAACACTACCTTCTCAGTGAGGTCTACCCTGATCACCCTATGTGAAACAGAACCCACTAATCCTAGCACCCCTATACCCCTTGCCCCACTTAATTTTTCTCCATAGCACTATCTCCATTGGACATATATTTTCTTATTTGCTCATTCTCTTGCGTTCTTCCACCAAAAATGTAAGCTCCATGAAATAAGAACTTAGTTTATCTTTTTTACTGCTGATTCTTTAGTGCCTTGAACAGTGCATGACACATAGTAGGTGCTCAATAAAAGCTGTTAAATGAATTTCCTATTTGTCAGTGTGCGTGATACTAGAAGTTCATAGATAGATAATAAAGAAGTCACAGACTAGTAGAAACAGGCAGGTAAATAAACAATTATCACACACTATCCTAGTACAATAACAGAGATTAAGTACAGTTATGATTCAGGACGAAGAGCAAATACCTCTGCCAATATATGTCAGTCACTGAAGGTGTCACTGAAGAGAGATATAAGCTGGGTCTTGAAAGATAAGTTCACCAGGTAGATGCCATTTGTGAACAAGAGCATTAAATAGAGAAAACGGTAAATGAAATGATCTAATAAGCAGTAAATGACATGTTATAAGGAAGAACTGTAAGTAGTTAGGTTGGGATGGAACATGGAGTACGTATGCGGTAGTGAAAAAAGACAAGATGAGTGATGCAGGGAGGCAGGAGACATATCATGGGGAACAGATCTTAAAGTCCAGAGAGACTGGCCTTTGTCCAGTAGGAGACAGAGAACCACCATTAAAGCTGGGATCCTTAGCAGACACCTGTGGATGGGTTTCAGGATACATGTGAATCTCTTGAAACAAAAATTTTCTGAGGGGTGGGCCCATAGCTTTCATCATACTCCTCCAAAGGCCTATGGCTCAAAAACAGCTTATAAACCACTGTAATAAAAGGTGTTGGTTAGAAAATGATGTTTAGATTTGCCATGTTAGCAAAATCACTCAGGCACAAATTGGGAGGAAGGTGTTGGAACACTTAGGTGGGTAGATCATGTTTTGGGAGCAGATGGATATATCGGCATGGAGCCAAGGAAACAGGACGTGGCTAAAGATATGAATTTTGGAGTGGTAGTGGAGAGCTGTGGGTGGTAGAATAAGTGATGGGCACGAATAAGATTGTACAGAGAGAGTATGTATTATAAAATGAGAAAAAGACAAAGAACAAAACCCTGACAACAACCAACATTTGAGGGTAGGAGAAATGAGGAATCAAAGGACAATTAAAAGGAACAGCCAGGGGCGCGGTGGCTTACGCCTGTAATCCCAGCACTTTGAGAGGCTGAGGTAGGTGGATCACTTTAGGTCAAGAGTTCAAGACCAGCCTGGCTAACATGGTGAAACCCTGTCTCTACTAAAAATGCAAAAAATTAGCCAGGCGTGGTGGCACGCGCCTGTATTCCCAGCTTCTTGGGAGGCTGAGGCAGGAGAATTGCTTCAACCTAGGAGGTGGAGGTTGCAGTGAGCTGAGATTGCACTACTACACTCCAGCCTGGTGACAAAGCAAGACTCTCTCTCAGAAAAAAAAAAAGGAACAGCCAGGGAGGTGAGAGAAGAATCTAGAGAAAACAGGGTCATGGAATCATCCTTTAGGAAGGAAGGAATGGTCAATATTGTCAAATATCTTAATGAGGTCTTGCAGGATGATGACTGAAAATTGACCACTGGAGAGAGCACTGAGGTCCATGGTCATCAGTTAACTTAGAAATAATGGATTCAGTATTCAGAGTATGGATGTGGGAGAAGTCAGACTGGAATGAACTGAGGCATGTCTGTAGAGTAAAATTCAACAAGCCTAGATTACCCTTTCTAGAACTTGGATATAAGAGAAAAAGACAGAATCTATATGAGAATATAGATGGGAAAAGACAAAATCTAGATGGGAATATAGTGATTTTGATGGAAGAAATGTTTACAGGTTTAGGAGAAAAAGCTAAAACAGAAAGAGATGAAAAATAAAGAAGCAAGGGGACATAACAGAAAGAGCGATGTCCCTGATGAATCAAGAGAGGGTGGGATCTTGATGAAGAGGTTCATTAGGCAAGATGAATCATTCCTTCCCTGAAAAAGGAAATGATTCTGGGCAAAAAAATGTAAGAACACACACCCAAGAACCATAATTTTGTTTTGTTTTTTGAGATGAAGTCTCGTTCTGTCACCCAAGCTGGAGTGCAGTGGTGCGATCTCAGCTCACTGCAACCTCCGCCTTCCAGGTTCAAGCGATTCTCCTGCCTCAGCCTCCTGCGTAGCTGGGAATGCAGGTGCGGACCACCACACCCAGCTAATTGTTGTATTTTTAGTAGAGATGGTGATGTTGGCCAGGCTGGTATCGAACTCCTGACTTCATGATACACCCACTTCAGTCTCCCAAAGTGCTGGAATTACAGGCGTGAGCCACTATGCCCAGCAGAACTACAATTTTCTATATAAAAAATAAGACAATTTACAGAGGTGACACAGGAGTCACAGGATCTTGTGAAAGATAGAAAAGGGCTGGAGTAATTGTAGTGAGAAAAGAATGATCATGGATGATCAGCTAAAGCTAGACCTCATCACCCTATGGTGGTGTCAATGAGCACAGTTGGGAAACGTTCTCAACTAACTTGAATGAAATGATAAGAAGGCATAGGGTAATGCTGATTTGAGGGAATGAAATTATGATGCCAATTTTTGTTTCTTATAAAATAGTTCAGGGTTATAAAGTTAGCCATCTGTCTATAACTGCCCCAAACTTGGTACTACAAAGAAAATTAGCTTACTTGAGATCTGGGCATCAATAATCATGGAAGACGAAGTTGATGACTGTTCATTACTGGCATCAATTTGAACCAGGGATGCATTTTTAATATTATTGTCCTCTATCTTCCAGTTATCCTTATGTAGCAAGCCTTCAATATTTGTGACTTTACAGCTAATACCACAGCCTGGCACAACCTGGAAATCTATGCAGGTACCCAAGGTTTCAGTGTCCAGCTCCTAACAAACAGAAACAAAAGGATTTTCTCGGCTGTTCTGAGAATTCAAGGTCATTCATTAGCAAGATAAAAGATAACCCCTAGTTAATTCTAAATGTTTATAACAAAATTGTCATTTATTACGTACTTGACAGTGGATTTTGATAAGGACAAAGGAATAGAGCATCAAACATAACATTCAAAATTATAGAAGGGCCTCAAAATCTTTGTTTTGGCTGGGTGCAGTGGCTTACGCCTGTAATCCCAGCAGAGGCAGGCAGATTACCTGGTCAGGAGGTTTAAGACCAGCCTGGCCAACATGGTGAAACCCTGTCTCTACTAAAAGTACTAAAAAAAATTAGCTGGGTGTGGTGGTACATACCTGTAATCTCAGCTACTAGGGAGGCTGAGGCAGGAGAAT